GACCTCCAGGGGGAGAAGGTTCATCAGAATCAGAATCAGAATCTATCAACTGGAACTTTCTAAGGGGACTGACGTGTAACTCAGGGAAAACCAATCTGTTGCAAGTAGAAGCATTTGAAACCTCTTTCTTCTTCCTCTCCTCTGCCTGTATTGCTGATTGTGAGGCTACAAGCCCATGACCAGTTAAAGTGAACTTTGAACTGCCGCAGATGGAATTGTGATGCTTTGAAGCATTGTCTGCTATTGAAACTGCACATTTAGTAAGGGCGAGTGTTAACTGCTCGGAATTCAGGTTTCATTTATCTGTTAAATAACAAAAGAAGATGATTTTGAACAACCAAAAAACATGATACTGAAAATGGCTGAAAGATAAAAACCCGGATACAACGGAAAAGGTCATCATCAGGTACTAATAATAAGTGAGAATATTACCAGTTATTTAGTTATGCTAAATAGGTTGTGAAGACAGATCCCCACACCCATGTGCCACCATAGAGTCATCAATGACATCATAGCTTAAGGGAACTAAATCAAGTGATGCAAAATTGATGTCTAATCCTCATCTGTGTAAATAGTAATCCTGCCCAATAGCCTACTAAAGCCAATAAGGTTCATCTCCAAATGAAACTACATACTAAAGATTGGAAGCCACAACAAATGCTTTACCACGTTATGTTGATGTTTACACGTGCAAGACGTACTCATTTCACCTTCACCAAGAGTAGGACAGATTTTATGCCAAATTTCGTTATTTACTAATCTCCTATTAATTCATCACAAATAGTCTGCTAAAGGTTTGCACTATAATTCAATTTGAACGGCAAAAATGGTTTCCCAAACATAAAGACACGAAAGCGTAAATCCACAAAGCCTAAGTCTTTACGGGAACTTATTATATAAGTTACAAACATGGTCCTCCAAATTCAGATATAAGAGAACAAATGCAAGAAGCAAGTAATTGAGCAACAAAAACTCAACTTTTGCAGGAGGGAATACACTAAAGTCTTTACAATCTTATATTTTCTGCACTAAAAACTATGACTGCTAGTCATAGGGTACGCATACTCATGTATGTACTGGACTTCTACTACTGCAGATTTCTTGCTAAGATGTTTTATCGAGGCAATATACTTTCATAATTCGTGGAGTCTTTTAAATAATTTGACAATAGTTTCCTATTTCTCAACTTACATATTCTTCATTTCCATGTTCTCGATCAGATTCTCACAAATCGGACAACTTTGTTAGACATGCACATTACCCTATTTAACACTCCTTATAACAAGAAAGACTTAATCTATGATCTATAACAATTCCCAGAGCTGTAGAAAATTCATAATCTAAAGCAATATCTTTATGAAAACCTTAAAACTAAAACTTTCTTCCTTGTCAAACCGGGCTTGCTACTAAAAATGAACCCCTTTCTGTTCTCACAGACTCAAAACGCTGGGGACCAAAAAAAAAAAAAACTTTATCCTTTAGTTTCTCTGTCTGTGTGAGAAATCAAATAAGCTACTAAGATCCCAGAACTCAAAAACTAGAAAGGGGAAAAAAAAAAAAGAAAAATAATGAAATTTGTGAAAAATCCAATCTTTTCACCTGGAGACGGATCTTCCTGGGAAGAGAACTCTTCAATCTCATCATCTACATTGAACCACTCCTCCTTGGATTTCCCTTTCTGGGTGGCTAATGTGGGCCCTCGCCGGAGCCGTTTGAGGGTCCGAGGTGTGTCCGATACTTGCGGTTTAAAGCCCATTGTTGGCGTTTCAAAATCATCCTCCTCCTCGTCGTTGTTGTTTGAACGGATGGTAGCTCCGGCAGATGATCTTTTAGCTGGTTTGATATTATAGCTGGTTGATGGTTCGGGTCTTCTAGCGGTCTGGGGCTCCGGGTCCGGGTCCAGGTCCAAATCGAACCCTAGTGAGAATGATGGAGGTTCAAAATCCGCCATTGCGCGGTGGATTGAGGTGACGAATGCGACTGTTTAGGTTTTTTATTTTTATTTTTTTCAAAGGATTTGCATTTATTTTTGCGCCAAAATGAGATACAAAAATGAACTTTTTGGCGCTTAATTTGCGGATTTCAACTTTTACCAACATTTCCTTTCCTTCTAATCTTATTAAAATTGCATTCAAAAAAGGGCATCTGCAAAGTAATCTTGATTTCTTATTGTGCTATACGCTGTCGTTTCGTGACGGGAGAATTTTACAAATTTGATTTAGCTTCTTTGAGTCCAAAAATGCAACTATAATAGTTTGGCGTTCATTCCTTGCAGTTTATTATGAGATCATATATAAATAGATTAAACCATTAGGGCTTGATTTGACGTTTTCTTTGAATACCAAAAAAAAAAAAAAAAAACTTGATTCGACCTCCAACTTAATAAAAATGTGTTTGAGATTAGGTCGAATAGTAATTGAGTCAAAATCATGGATTATAAGCAATGTTAAAGTCAATAAGAAAAAGGTGTGTGTGTGCTAAAGCCAATATTACAGCCAGTGTGTGTTTGGTAATAGATTATTTGGGATAATTTAAAAAAATACTGTAGCACTTTTTGATGTGATATAAAATATTGTTAAAAAATGTGTTGATAATATAAACAAATAATTTTTTATAAATAATTCTCAATCCAAACAAACCGCCTTAACTTGATTATCATTGATTTTGCCCCTATTGCTAAAATATATTATGCAAATTTCTTTGGTTCTTTTTCTTTTTGAATTCTCCTTTCTATTGTTTTTTACTATAATCTAATATGTAAGCAAACAAGATAACATTTTTATGGATGTTTAAAATGCAATTCTACAAAAATGTATCATCTTAATTCCCTTTTGGTGATCACTTAGGCATTATCATTTAGTCAAATAAGTATGTATTAAAATAAAATCAAATGGATTGATTAGCCAAATTGACGTGAACTCAACCCAGTAAGAATTTATTCTGAAGAACTAAGTCGATCAGGTAGGAAGGAACTACCTTGACAAAGTTATGAACAACAAATATCTTACTAGATTTAAAGAGAACTCGTCCCTAGAAACTTAGTGGATTAGTTAGTAGTTTGAAAGAACAAGATGACATGATCATTTTACTTTGAACATCACAAGTATTTGGTACAATTCAAGAAGATAAGAGTAGAACAATTCACTTTTATTAATTCATTTCTTCAAATGTCTTACAATGGAAAAGAAGAAACCTATTTATAGTTAAAATTTAAACTACTAAGACTAATCCAATTTGGACAAAGATTTAGTCACTTATTTTCCTAACTACTTTTAAATGGCTCAAATAGCTGACATAACTGACCATATTTATTCATAATAATGACTAACTAACCAACTAAACAAAAAAAAATCAAGCAAAATAAAAGAAATCAAACAAAATTAAAAGCCCTAAGATCAGTTTGACTGGAATATGCGAGGTAGATGACTAGATTGGTAGTCAGATACGAGGCAGAGACAAATCAAGAAGAAAACTTTGCTCCACGGTGATCCAAGGTGGATCAATGCGCGGATTGCCATGCGGATCTGCTTCCAGGCTCCAAATGACGTTCACAAACTTAATTTCATCTAACTCCATCCCCTTCACGACTTCATGTATTCCAATGGAATCTTGAACATCATAAATTGGTGTTAAACAGGCTCTCAAACATTTTGGCACCAGCTCTTGCCCTACGTAAATGGACAAAACGAAAACATCCTCTCACGAGGTAGTGATGATCCTACTACTCGTATCACAAACACTCCTAGTACCACATTTCAAAAAAAAAAAAAATTTTTAATTTTAAGACTTGTACTCCACAAAATATCTGAAAAGGAAAAAGAGTGTTGTTGTGTAACCGGACGATTCTTTGTTACTCACTGTTTCCATCATCATGACAAGAGCCTTGGTCTCAGACTCAGATTGGCGAGGCAAATATGTAAGTAACATTTTGTAGGGATCAGTATCTCCAGCGTCTAAATCAACAGGTAAATTATAAATCAGGCCTCTGGTGGACTAACAAAAATGACAACCACATTTATCATTGTCAAATGAGCAAAGTTTGACACTTCTACATGAATTAGTCTCATGAGTAATAGGGTTAATGAATTAGTCTTATGAGTTATAGTGTTAATGAATTAGTCTTATGGGTTATAATGTCAATGAATTAGTCTTCTGATTTGGCTAAAAGTGGAGTAACTCATTAATACTACATAGTAGTAACTAATATTTATTTAGCAAGTTAATGTTCCTTGTATCCGCGTCCTCTTTTCCGGAAACACAGCCCAATGATCAACCATGCCTCAGAAAATTACCATACATCAACTTATCAAGTTTTTAATAATCAGTTGCGATCCTTCGTGCCACTATTCGGTGCTAAATTCAGTGTCAATCCCACTAATCACGTGATGATAGAAGAAATTTAAATAAATGGGACACTTAACATAAATATAGAAGTGGCACTGAATTGCTATTGGAAAAGTGGCACTAAACTTAATTTCCATAATTCCATCCAAGATCTAAGAAGATCAAATGTTTGCAGAGAGAGTAGGAACACCTAAACAAATAGTTAACAGAAGTTCACTTGCATTAACTGGATCTGTTGATAAAATAGCTGTAGTATAACACCTCCACCCTCCTCGCCCCCACCCCCCCACACCCAACCCACCGAAAGAAAAAAGAAAACCCCAAAAGGAAGGGAAAAAGGACGAAAGAGTAGGTTAGCTGCTGATAGTCTTTGATTCATGTAACTAACTCTCAATTAAAGATTTACAAGGAAAATAATCAAAAGGAAAAAGAAACATGTTCAACTACTTTCCTATTCACACAGGCCAAAATTTCCAAGAACCATTTCCACCCCATTTCCATTGGGATCAAGGAAGTGGCGACAAAATGGAGATAAATGGAGGCTGAGAGGTCCTTGATCTATATCTGAATTCAGAACCTAACCAAAAACTTTACAGGACATAACAAATATACGAATGCAATTAACAAACTTTACAGGACCTAATTAACACCTGCCCTTACATCTCAGCTTCTGGTATGCTTTGCAAGGCAGGCCTCCAGGACCTTGGATGTGTCTCATTTCCGTCACCAAGGTTGAGCAACAGTGCTAAAGCCTCTTTCACCGTTTTCCCTTGTACATCCACCTTACTCAGAAGTTCCTCCAATTGCTTCTTCGTGATCTTGATCTTCACCTCCGCCCCTGCTGTGGCAGAAGAAGGAAGAGATTTAGCCCCCTTCTTTCCTCCATGAAAACTCTCCTCCTCTGTTTTCATTGGCTTCGCATACAACTTGTTGTCTTGGCCAACCCCACTAGAAGAAAACACGGTTTTCTTGGCCTCTGATGGCACCGGCGGGGGAGAGCCCCAATCATCCCCTCCCCATTGTGTGGATGATTCTTTGATAATACAGTTTCCCATCTTCTAACAAGTGAATGCTTGTAATCGATTATTAGTATTGAATTCAAGAGAGTAAGATCATAAGTTGATGTTTATATATATATATATAGGCAGGTAGGGCCCGTGGGGGAGCCTTTGGCCCCACAATCTATAATAAAAAACTAAAAATATAAGAAAACTAGATGGGGGTGTAATGTTTGGTAAAAAGTTTTTAAAATAACAATATAGGACTTTTTGTAACGTGATGTATGTGAAATGAAATAAGAATATGATTAAAGAGAAAAAAATGTAATTGAAAAATACATTTAAAAACAAATTTTCTTTTAATGACTAATTCAAACAACCAAAAAAATTACACAAAAGACAACAATTTCATATCTAAAAATATGACCATTGAATATGCATATAATGAAAAGAAAAAATTTGATGCTATTTTCTATAATGTACGCAAAAAAAAAAAAATATTCTGCACGTTTCAAAGGGATCCATGTAAGCAAAATGATGTATGAGTAAATTGTGTGAGCAAAATCCCAATGAAGATATATATATATATATATATATATATATATATATAAATATGTGTGTGTGTTTGTAATGATAAAATTTTACTATTTTATTTTTATACTAATCTACACTATGGGGAGCACTGCACTATCCGGGAACCCTCGACCAACAAGGATACATGGCGAAGAAAAAGGCATTGGCAGATAACTAACTAGGGGTGGCAATTCGGGTCCAAATCAGGTTGGCGGTCGGGTTCGGGTCAACCCGCCAGAAAATCTGTTGACCCGAACCCTACCCGCCAACCCGTGACGGGTCAGGTATGCTGACCCGAACCCGAAAATTTCAGGTTGACGGGTTGGCGGGTCGACCCGAAATGACCCGAAACTTAATTTTAATTTATTAATTTATCACTGTAATTTCTAATAAAATCAATTTCTCACAAAACTAATTACATAATCAAGTAATAAAAATTTAAATAAGTAATTCCAAACCAAATCTAAAATAAATTAAACACCGTAAAAGTGTTTTATCCCAAACAAAATATAAAATAAATTAAAACAGTATAAAAGTAAAAAATAATATAATATATTATTTGTCCAAATATAATAATTTCAACTTCACACAAATTAAATAAATTCATTTATGATTAAGTAATTAATGCCTTTGAAAAAAAGAATAACTTAGGTTAGTTAGATAAAATTATTTTTATATTTATTAAATTATTTTTAATTCGTAAACGGGTCATATCGGGTCATATCAGGTCACCACGGGTTGACCCGAAATCGACCTGTTTTCTTTTCGGGTTCATCGGGTCCAACCCGATTATGACCCGAATTCCCAAAACCTCAACCCAAACCCATTAATTTCGTGTTAGGTTCGTGTCGTGTTTTCAGGTCGTGTCGAAAATTGCCACCCCTACAGATAACTGATCAAGAAGTTGCCAGGAGGGATGACAAGTAGGGGTGGGCACGGGTCGGGTACCCGCCCCTAACATGATTTGGCTGACCCGACCCTAATATATCGGATCAGCCATTTTGCGACCCTAACCCGCTCCTAATATTTTCGGGTACCCGAATAGCGGGTACCCGAAAAAAAGGGGCGGGTCATAAGGTACCCACCCCTAAAAAAAACTATTTTTCAATAAAAAAATTTTATTTTCTACTTAATATCAACATGTTTTTCAATAAAAAAAAACATGCTTTTCCAATTAATATTGGTAGAGATATTGTAATTAAAGTCCATACATCACCATTCTCACACATTTCATCCAATAATCAAATCGATCTCATAAATTTAGTACATATTAGAATATCTAATAGACAAAACGAAGTTTCATAATAATTTTGAGTACATCACCATTTTCACACATTTCATACTTCTACAACACAACAAACACAAGGATAATAAGTATTTGGTAACTTCCCCAAGGATAATATGGTACAAGACCGCATCTCAAATAAGTCAATTGTGAAATCAAGTTCGGAAAAGAATTGAATAGAACTAATTATTTTTGAAAAAAATATAACCAAAAATAATGTTAAAAATCTTCCCCAACTTCTTTACATCTTTGGAATAGACCTTATGGTATTAAGGTGATGAAAAAGAAAAATAAATTTCTTACACTAAATAAAAGAGACAAATTAAAGAGATATAATTGCAAATGAATGACACAAATATTTTAATTATCTAGCTAACAGAAAATTGAAACTCCAAACAAAAATCTTTGATTGAATTGATGCAAGATTTGCAGGAAAGATCGATGGAGGTAGAATAAAAATAAAAAAGATGAAAGGGATGAACAATTTTTATAACAGAGTTTCACAAATTTTTTTTTTCATTTTGTTCATGTTTCACCGAGAATATTCGCTTTCTTCAAAAAAAATGAGAAGAGCAGATCATATAGGATTAGAATATGAGGCTGCGAGCCACTTCACTTGCACTTAGAATTAAAAATTACAAAATTATAAAATGATCCCTACTTTTTTAATATTTATAAAATATACCCTGCGGGTCGGGTACCCGCGGGTTTTTATTTTTCTGATCCGTATCCGTACCCGATTTTTCGGGTACCCGACCCTCATCTACCCCGCTAAGAAAAATCGGATCGGGTATCCTATTTTTCGGATCGGATCAGATCGGATTCATCGGATTTTCGGATCGGCGGGTTTTTTTGCCCACCCCTAATGACAAGGGTGTCCTACCTGGCAGGTGATGGTGCGTTTGACCTCGGAATGTTTGGGTGTCCCACTGTTCTTGGTTGGATTGGTTGACGCCAGCCCCACTTAAGCTTATTGAACCGGTGGTGGCTCAGCACACTTCAGTCGGCTAATTGATGGACCATTAAATTTTAGAAATAACTTTAGTTATAAATGAAGAAGAAAAAAAATGTGATAGAAAATTACTTCTATTTGTACCAAAAGAGGAATGCATTTTTGGCATAGTTTCAACATTATCTACATGTATAATATATGTCTAATGAGATTGATTCGATTCAAAATAATGGTTAAAAACATTTTCTCCCAATTTTTTGAAACGAGACACACAGAAAGTGATAAAATATTTATTTACCACAATTGAGAAAATGGCTTGAAAATAAATTTAAAGCAAGGGAGGAAAAGTAGACTGATATACGTAAACATGATAAATTGTTAATATGTTCAAGGAAAAAGAACAACATTTATTTACAACAATTCAGAAAATGGTTTGAAAAATATAAGAATTAATCTTCTATACATTAACAGTGTACACACTTTCACCATTAGATGCATGACACATAATTTAAATTTGAATTTGTAATTTAAATTTTACATATACATAATATATCAAATCGTAATAGTGTATACACTGTAAATATATATAAAATTTACTTAAGATGTAAAGCAAGAGGGCAAAAGTAGAGGTGATTTTTTGAAGCTCCACCACTCAAGCTGCGGAGTATTAGCCAAACCCAATGAGCCGGCTCCGTGTGAAAAGAGATTGGCTACCGAATCTTGCTTGCGCATTTCCTTTGTGAACGCAACCGGGCAAGTGGAATCTTGCGCATTTGTGCCTTAGTTGCAGTCTCACGCGTGGGTTCCCCAACCTACTTTTTCTAGCTGATCTCACGCTGGTTGCAATTAAGCACCTTAAACATTTCATTATCATATTCTTTATCCCTGGAGTAGGTTGCTTCCTAACCATTGGGCTTTGGCTCAATGGCCATAAAAAAAAGGGACTTAGCCCTTTTTGAACTATGAGCAAGAGGTTCGAACTCTACCTGCAGCAAAGTCTCTTTAAACTCCCTTTCCCTATATTAGAATAGATTAAGTTATAAAAATATTATTATTATTACCATAAAAAAAAGAGTGGGTCGCCTCCTCATCCCATGATGAAAGTTGTTTATCACGAGTCCTTTCAAACACGTTTTAATTATTTTGCGTGCATCACAGACATATTTTTTAAATATTTTTATTTTTATTTGTCTTTTTATTTTATGTATATTGTGTCATAAAAAGTATTACAGTAGTTATTTTAATTAATATTTAAAATAATACTTTATCAAAAAAAAAAAAAAACACGCGCGCACACACACGGCATTTAGGGAATATTGCATAGTTTCGTGTCGACCACTTGGTATTGCCAATTTGCAATGTCAGCAATCGAGAAGATTGAGCAGGAAGGGACGAATATATAGACACTGGAAATGTGATATGTGCACTTAATTCAAGTGAAACAACACTGGAATACTTCACATTTGATTTTTGTGACAGGATCCATAATTTTTTTTTACCTAATAAATATCGTTCTAAAACAACTGAGATCTCAACGAATTTTTGTAGACCCATCCTTTGCAACTCATTATTGTCCGCCTCCACTAAACCACGGATTAATATCTTCTCTAAAATAATTGAGCACGTTTAAAACTTCATTATTTGTCTTAACAAAGATATCATTAAACACTTTATCAAGTAGTTTTGTTGCTGTTGCTAAGAGGATAACTACTTAATTAATTGTGGCTTGCGACAACTAATAATGTGGGGATGTAGCCCAATGAGATGGTATCATCAATAATAAGTACCTTGGATAACACTTCTATTTCTTCTAATCAGATGAGCAAATTGAACACCATAACACGAGGGTTGCATAATTTCAAACAACTTGAGCAGTCACTCCATTGTCTACTTGAGCCTAACAATGACAAGGTACGATATATATGTGAGTATAGCCCGCTTACTAATTCATGGCTGACTTTCCTGAATGATTGAGAAATCAAAGCTAGTAATGACTAATAAACTGATGAATCCTTGACTGTTGATTAATCTGTGTGGACCGTGTGGTGTACTAGTAGACTGAATGTTTTGTCACTTTAAATTTGAAGGGTGGCTGGCGGCAAGCTAGCCTAAGTTGACTTCTTGTAGATATCTACTACATGGACTAATTAAGGGTAAATTCCAATGTTTTGAAACTCGAGCCATTAATTAAATCGGCGAGATGTTCGGGTCGAGATTCAATCGGTTAAATCGGTTCAACCCTGGTTC